TGATATAACTACTTTAAACATTTATTATTTGGATAAAGGTATGACCCAAAATCCTATTTGTCCTACCAATAGCAACAGCACACTACTTAGATTACTTGAGAGACTGATCAACCAAAATACCAAGATCCTTTTTCTTCTATAATACCGTCAAGTTTATTCACATCAAAGTTATACTTTACATTTATCATAACTGTCAAAGCAGAAGCAGCCTATCAAATATCAATAGGAGACTGGGTACATCAGGACAATATAAAATGATACAATTCTGACTAATTTGATGGGTAAAAGTGAAACACAGCATCAGATTTTCCAGATGTACTTTATGTTACCAGAAGTTCTTGAAAATCTTGAAATTGGTGAAAAGTACTCTTAAGAAAAGGCTATTTGTGCAGCAGTTGAAATAACTGCTAATTTTACCCTTCAGTAACTAGTAGAGAACATATTTGTAATAAGATGTACTGAAATAATTTTTTCTAATTTCCTCGCAGGTACTTTTCATGAAGTTTTGATGTTCTGGTGAACTGGATGTTGAATGGTCATAAGAATGTACTAATTCTTTATTTTTAGATAAAGGTTAGATATAAAACAATGTCTATCTTATGGAAACTTATATTCCAGTTTGACACTGTGTCTGTTTTATCCTCGTGATGAAGGTAAGCTCATCTTAAAAGGTGACACAGATACTTGTACAAGTTAGTGCGAGTTGAGGTTTTCTCCTTTGTAAGGTAATTTGTATTCATTGCATTGCTCATAACTTTGAACTAGCCATATTAGGAAATTCTCTGAAAAGCTGCTACCACTTGAAATAGACATAAGAAAACAATGAGAAGTGCACTGAAGGTGTATACCAAAACTAAGATGACAACTCAATAATACTGAAAACTGTTAGGATACTATTTTGATGCAGTTAAAACTAGCACAAGTACAGTGAGAGATGTGCTGCAAATGTATACCAAAATTAAGGTGACAAGTATGGATGCTGTTGACTATCTGTATACTGTTTCAATACAGTTACAGTTTTGTTAGTCTTGATTTCAATGGACTACTCCTATACACTTCAAAAGTTGGACAACATTTCAGCTTCTATACCAAAAATTTATCACAGAGTCATACTAACCAACAAAAAGACATTAAACTCTTAACAATTCTGAGTTCAATCTGAAAAAGCCTCAGAAGAGAAGATAAAAAGGTGTCTCCCTCTAATAAGAACAGCCAAAGAGCAACCCATTAAAGCCAAAACTATAATGTCTACACTGCCTAAAACACCCTTGAAAGAGTTAGGATTAGCACAACAAACAGTGGGAAAAAAAGAGCCCTTATTTCAACTGAGAACTAAATGTAATCATCAATCTAGAATATCTGACATGTGGGAAGTCAGACACATCTACACTGCCTAAAACACCCTTGAAAGAGTTAGGATTAGCACAACAAACAGTGGAAAAAAAAGAGCCCTTATTTCAACTGAGAACTAAATGTAATCATCAATCTAGAATATCTGACATGTGGGAAGTCAGACTCAGCAACAAAACCTCCAAAGTACTTGAAAAAAAGTAAATAGCAAAGTTTCTGCAATGCATTATATTTGCCTCAAGACATTTTAATGACTTTGGTTTCTTCTCCCAGAGCTTTTAAAATGATGTCCTGATTTTTTGATTTATCAATTCATAAGAAAGCAGCCTAATGAAATAATAAGAAATATGATCTCCAAGCAACTGCACTACAGGATTTCAGGGGAAGTGCACTAAATGCAGTTTTAAGAGGGATAGGATTATAGCCGAGTGCTTTGCTCAGTCAATATAACTGAGCATCAACTACATTAATGTCATGAAAACAATCAATTAATAAAAATTAGTGTTTCTGGTTATTATCATTTTTTATTATTCTAACTACCCATGTGAGAAAATCAATTAGTTAACTGTGATCTATTAACGAGTCCAATGATTAATCAATTAGTTAACTGTGATCTATTAACGAGCCCAAGGATTAATCAATTAGTTAGCTGTGATTTATTAACGAGCCCAACGATTAATTAATTAGTTAACTGTGATCTATTAACGAGCCCAACGATTAATCAATTAGTTAACTGTGATA